CTCATATTCTGAATAGAATTGAGTAGGACTACCAGGTAAAGTGAAGTGCTTTAGCCAAGGACACAATGACGGAGACGGGTATCTGCCACCAGTTAAATGATGAACCATCGCCTCCTGTTTCTGAGGAAAAAATCCCGTGCATCGGTGGCTTTTGTTCTGTTAACTCTGCATCCTAACGCATCGGCTTGAGTGAGAATCTTTAGTGCAAAGAAGTGAGTGCAAATGTTCTTCCTAGAATCTGAGGGATCACTGCCAAAGAGAAGTTTTGCTTTTAACGAAAATAATTTGCAATTTTTGTGTCAGATTGAAATGATAAAGAAGCAACTTTGGAAAGATGGAGAAGCTGCACAAGAAAGCAACAATTCATATTTCTCTGCAACTTTGAGCGATGAAATGTGTAATATTACTGTTAACAAGTTGAGCCACAAGACCACATTTTTCTAATGTAGTCATATCTTTTTTTTCCTTATGTCATGGGTGCATTCATCACATTTCCGCTGATGAAATAAATGCTAATTTGTTGGTTTTATTTGTGCAACATGGTTCACTTTTTACCCGTGAGAACAAATTAAAACTATGATATGACGTACAGTGCATCTCAAAAAATGAAAGCAAAGAAAAGTTGCTTGTTCTTTCCAACATTAGACTGAGATATATGAAAAGGTATTGAATAAAATCTTCCAGTCAATGATTATATGGCTTAACTCACAGCAGCAAGAGGAACCGTTTGACCAGGAAGCAAAAAACACAAACCACAGAGCCACATAGGCTTGTCTTTTGTTAGACATATTGTTTCCAAACAAATTTGAAGTATCTCAAGCAGCGCCCAAGGCAGAACAAAAACTCCTAAAATGCCCAAAGTCTCATTTAGCATGTTGGGTGTTGCAGTAGGTCTTTGTGACAATTGCAATAAGGCAATACTTCAGATACATTGCAAAGGTCCAAGAGGCTCATGAAGTGTAAAGACACTTAACCAATGTGAACTGTGGAGATTTCAGATGTGGCTTTAAAGGTTTACTCCCTGTGTCATTCACCAGTTCTACGTGCTTTGCTGCGCCACACTACATGACATCAAGCTTTTATTTGGCCATTGTTACGACCAGCCAGGCCACAACATATTTGAGGACACGAAACAAACATGGGGTTCAAAAGAATTATTTTATTCTTAATCTCTGGAACTTCTTTTTAGGCAAGGCAAGGCAAGTTTATTTGTATAGCACATTTCATGTACAGAACAATTCAAAGTGCTTTACATAAAACATTATAAGCAAAAGGGAGAGAAAACATTTAAAAACAATTAAAAGCGTGATTTAAAATTAAAAAAATTTAAGATTAAAAAGAGAGAATACAGAGACGTGCGGATTTTAACTTTTGAATAGAATCTGCGTAAATGCAGCTGAGAACAGGTGGGTCTTCAGCCTGGATTTAAATAAACTAAGTGTTTCAGCTGATCTGAGACTTTCTGGGAGTTTGTTCCAGACATGTGGAGCATAGAAGCTGAACGCAGCCTCTCCATGTCTGCTTCTGACTCTGCGAACTGATAAAAGGCCGGATCCGGATGACCTGAGGGGTCTAGTAGGTTCATACTGGGTCAAGAGGTCACTGATGTATTTTGGGCCTAAACCATGCAGAGCTTTATAGACCAGCAACAGAACTTTAAAGTCTATTCTCTGATGGACCGGCAGCCAGTGTAAAGACCTGAGAACTGGACTAATGTGGTCCACTTTTAGATCAGTTGTTTTGTTTTTCTGGAAAGAGACAAAAAAAGCAGAGAGTCAGATTTTTTTTTAAAGAAAACTAAGAGAAAAAAACCCCCAAAGTATGAACAGAAAGTTGGACCTGGTGAGCCGATCCAATGCAACAAAATGGTACAGAAGAGGGCCAACCCTATTCAGGGCCGTCGAAGCCTCTGCTAGTAACGAACTAACGGAAAAACTCTAATACATATATATATATATATAAAAAAAAAAAAAAGAAAACAGGACAACTGGTCCCACCAGGTCAAAGTTACAAAAAAATCAGCAAAAAACAAAGGCTGACGAAAAAGAATACCAAATGGCAGGCTGGGGAGGCCAGCGGCGGCCTACAAAGACGGGAGACGTGCGCATCGCGTCTGGACGCGCTCTCTGTGACGGTGGATCGATCAAAAGGTTCGAAGGAGAGAGAGAGAGAGAGACTAACAGGTGGACACCCAGCCTACTTATAGGCGGACCAATATCACGCAAATTAACGTAACAAATTACAAAAGAAAAAAGAAATAATTATCAACTCTAAAATTTAAGTGACTCACTAAGGTCTATACAACACTAAAAGGGAAAAGAAAAAAAGACACAAAAATAATTTATGTGCCCGACGCACATAACACTAAACTACCGCATCTGTCAGGATTTGGGTATTGAGTGTTGACCCAAAAGCAGAGGTGAATCTGTTCTGGATTTAATTATGACTTAACAGAAATCAGAGGCTGGTAATCTAAAAGGAAAACAAAGTCCAAACAAACAAGAAAATCAAAAACATGAAAAACATGAAAACAAGTCTAACGTACCAGAAACCATGGGGACATCAGGGGAATCACAAACATAACAAGGAAGGCACAGAGAGAAGGAGTTGGAGCGTGCAGACGGTGTTTGACGAGGACCCAGCAAAGGGGAACTGAACAGAGAGGGCTTTTTAAAGGAGACTGAGACAGAGAGGGGGCTAATGAGGAAACTGGGAGCAGGTGTGCACAGAACAAGAGAGGGAAAGAGCTAGGGAAGAAGGAGAACACAAGAGGGCAGCAGAGAGCAACAAACAGAAACCTGGAAATAACAACAAAATGATAATCAAATAACTAGGACTATAAAACATGTTGAAAAGAAAACTAAACACTAGAAATCAAGGAGTAAAGTAAGACTGAATACTCAAAAGAAAAACATAACAGAAACATAACAGCACCACAAAACTAATAATGCATCTGTGGCTTTTCTCCTGCAGTCGGCGGAGGCCCGAGAAGGCCCTCGGCATCCACATGCAGCTGACTGGGGCATTGCTGTGCCTCCACCTCGGCTTCCTGAGTTCAAGTTTTTTGGTTCATCTGCTTAAAGAGGAGCAGGGCGGCTGGGTTTGTCGAGGTCTGGGTTTCTTCCTGCACTGGTCTCTGCTGGCTACGTTTACCTGGATTGCCCTGGAAGGATTCCACCTTTACCTCCTCCTCATCAGAGTCTTTAACATCTATGTCAGTAGATACCTGCTAAAGCTCTCCATAGTGGGATGGGGTGAGTTTAGGAGTGAAGTTCAACCAGATTAACTTTGATTTCACTAATGTAGCTGAGGTTTGATCTTTCTCTTGCTGTCTCCTCAGGCTTTCCTACACTTGTTGCAGTGATTTGTGGGAGTTTAGGTGTTTATGGCAGATACACTCTGGAAATATGGGATTCCAATAACAACACATCACCATCGCAAATGTAAGAAACTACCACAGTTTACATGTGCAACCAAGATTCACTGAAACACCCCGATGACCCCAGTTTCATTGTTTTGTTAATTCTCACTGAGCAGATGCTGGATGAGCAGCGAGTTCCAACAGAGACATGTAGTCTCGTACATCACTCTGGCTTTTCTTTGCCTGACTGTGCTGTATAATACCTGCATGCTGCTGGTGGTGGTGTCTAAGATCTGGAAGTTAAGAGGTGGACAAAGGAACTGTAAATGCAGCGACTGGAAGATGAACAAGGAAAACTGGTCCAGGTTATGGAAGGACGCCGCTAAAGTTCTGGGCCTTAGCTGGGTCCTTGGGTTGCCATGGGGATTGGCCAGCTTCACTTATGTTACTTTATCTGGAATCTACGTTTTCAACATCTTAAACTCTCTGCAAGGTCAGTATATGTGCTTAAATATCGGCATACATTGATATATGTTGGTTTAGCTGAAAATATATTTTTGTGTCTTTAGGTGTTTTTATATTCCTGTGGGCTGTGGCTTTGTCGTGCAAGTATCGATCGGAAAAGAAATCCAAAGTCCAAGATTCTTCCACACAGAAAATTACAACAAGCAGCGTCAACTGATATTTAATAATCAATGATACTCGCATATTAAACCATATTTGGCAAAAAATTAGCTTGAAATGTGAAGCTAAGCTGTTATTTTCCAAAATGGTGGCCGTGGGTCAGGGTGTCAGCTGACCCAATATTATACAGGGGTCACAATAGGGCACAATGGTGATAAATCAACCATCATAGAATTTATACTGGATAAAGAATTGTGTTTCATGATGATGACATCATACTGGTTACTTCCTTTCTGTTTTATATCAATGTATACTCAGGTGGCAGTACTTTACGGATTACCTACTCTTGTAAAATATTTCTTCTTGGTAATAAGACCATAAAATTGACAGCTTTTGAGAGGAGATTAGATTAGTTTTTCAATTCACAGGTAACACAAACATCTCAAGGCAATTTACGGTCAGATTGGTGAAACGTTTTGTATCAAATTCAAATGCAGCTAATTGCACTTTGCAGGTTTCTCTTGGATGAAAATTTGTCTCCAGTAGATATTTGCTGCATTGCGTTGTTGATTCTACAGCAATCCCTCACATTGGACATGCATGCAGTGACAGTAGAACGGAAAACCCAGGAAGACACCTCCAGCAGACTCGACGTGAGGGTTCAGGAGACAAACATGGAAGCACAGATGCTTTAGATTCTCCACAGTTGGCTCTAGAAAAGAACCGGTTAAGCAGATGAGCTATAAGTCAGTTTTCACATTAAAAGGGATGGAAGAGCACACAAATAATTAGTCACGGTAAGAGTTGAGCCCCTAGCTATAGCTAGGAGAGAAACAAGACTTAGCACTGAAAAACACAACTCTATAATCTACATTTTTAGTGGGTGATGTCAGCAGCCCAGTTAATGTTTTGAAACAGGATTATCTGACAGGCCAGATGAAGCTACTGTGAGGAGAAAAAGCAGGGAAAACATAAAGTTGGGGGGTGAACTACAAAATGCAGAATGGGCGGTTCTAGACAGGGGCCAACGGGAGCCCTGTAGACAATGTCCTCGCTCATGTACTGAAGACATAATACTAAAAAAAATTCTAATGATGATCTGCGCTGGAACAGACATGGTTACTGATAGCTCCTTTGGATATTTTTCATTTTTTTTCTTTACAAATTCTGTTTTACTTTTCATTTAAAACCAATAAGGTGATATTGAGACAGCATCCCAGTTTTCATCTGATAAATGTTCTTTTTGTTCAAAACAAACAAAAAAACCCTCTCATTTTTGCATCTGAATTTATTTATTAAAATAATAGGTTTATTTGATCTTTTAGATATTTATATAGCTACAATTTTTTGAGTTGCTTTCTTTTTTTGTTTTTTGTTTCGATTTTAACATTAATCCAAACAAACATTTTCAAGCCAACAATAAATATTTCATGAGCTACAGGCCCCCGTCGGCCCCTGTCTGGAACCGCCCTTGCCTGTTCTGCATTCTGTAGTTCACCCCTTAACTTTAAGACATAATTTTAATTAAACCTAATTGAAAGAAAGTTTCACTTCATGTAGCTATTTTAATATATTTTTATCCCGTGCCTGTTTTTTTTTTTTATTTGCTTCATGCTTTTTTGTTATAATTAAATCCTTAGAGTAATTTGGCTTTGGTGAAAGGTTTGTAAAAGTGATTAATTCAATGCATAGGGATATCAATAGTTCAGGGTTTCCCCTGCTCTCCCTTCTTATTTATTTTAGCTGCAGTTATTGACTATTTTTCTTAAGAAAGCCAAGATATTGAGCTATTAGATGTTTTTGGTAAACATGATAATTTTACTGCTCACACTTTTCCTATCTGGGATAACAGGTGGATCTTATCGAGAAGAAAATTCTTTTTTTGCACTGACTGGGTGGAAAGACGTCTTGGTCGATTGTTCATCTGATGGATCTTGGAAGGAACTTTTTGGTTTACGATGATTTTGTTCAGTAATTTTATGTAAATTGTACCAAATGTACGAAATGCACAAGATAACTGTACGTTTTGGGATTCGGACGTTAAGATGCAGGAACACTTAATTTTTATAAAGGTACTTGTGTCAGAGTATTTTGGGATGCATCGCATGACTAAATATCTGTAAATTTAGCCTCGTGAGACCATCCTGATCTCGCGAGCTTTCAAGGTTTCACTCGCTAATCAGTCTGGAGACTCTCCGTTAAAGAAAATTTGGAGCCGTTCACCAAACGAACGTCCAATCAGCGTTGACTTTGAGGCGGGTTGAGGTGTGACGCAACGAGAAGCGTGACAGTTCAGTCTAAAGAACATGGCCGCTTCGGCCGATGAAACTA